ACTCTATAAAGACCTGGCACTTTAGCAGAAGAACAAATATTTAAAAGCAATATAAGCATAATTTCCCTTTATTCTCCATAAAAAAAAAAAAAAAAAAAAAAAAAAAGCTATAAAGTGTTAGATCTTTCCTGTAATTTGCTTAATTGATTAACTTGATTGATGTAGATGACTGAACAAAGGGTAAGGCAGTGAAAAACAGGCCATTATCTTCATTTGTTAGCATAGTTCGATTTTGTGTAAATATTTTGTTTCAAATTTATTCAGATTCTAACACGGGAGATCATTTTTCAAAAGCAAACAATTTTTACTAGCAAAAGATTTGTCACCAGAAATTTCACTCCCCAAAGGTAAACTCATTTAACCAGTTACATCTTGGAGAAATCAAAGTGCAATCATAGGAAGGAGGGTGACTGCAAAATGAGCAATGTGATGGAGAGTGCTGCTCCTCCTGCTCCCAGAAGCTGAGAAGCCACTCCTCTCAGTTTGGACTGACACCTTTTCCAGCATGTCAAATAGAAAATTAATGCTCTATTCCTTGAGCTGATCCTTGTGGCTGCATTTTACTGAAGCACAAGATCCACTTTGTAAAGCAGTTGTTCTTTTGGTAATTGTGCTGTGCTTCATTTAGGAAACATTCAGAGCAGAGTGAATTGTGCCTACAGTGATAATAGGTATTTGGCTCTCAGATTTTGATTGTGCCATTAAAAAATGGGGAAAGATTGTCACTCAGAAAGCAGATCTTGATAAATAATATGCTGGAAGAGTTGGAAGCAGTGTGAGGAAAAGCACAACCACACCAATTGCCTTAATTATTGACTGAAGAAAACCACTTTTGTCCCAGAAATATCAGTACAGAAGGAAGATGGCTCTGAAGTCAATGTATATTCTTTCCTGTTCGTTGTGGCATTGCTTTAATTTCACAACTCAGTAGCCCAGCGCTCACCTGAGTTCCTAAAGAATTGAATAATTGATCCATAATTAATGGATGCACAAAGCAGGGAAACA